TCCATTTTATTTCCTAAAATATCACAACTCAAACAAGCCACCCACATTTTTCTCCTGGATAATAGACACGCCCTTCTCTTTCGGGCTCACCATTATTAGTGCCCCCACACTAAAATTTACCCCTTAATTAACAACATTAATATTTCTTAATGAGACCCCTCTGCTTTTCTCTCCTTTTCTTCCCTCCCACCAGAGAGCAAGAAAAGCTGTTGATCAGCACCGCCGCCGGAAAATCAAACAAACACAAAAAAAAATAAAAATATATTAAATTAAAAAAAAATAAAAAAATGAACGACCTATTCTCGAGCTCCTTCAAGCGCTACGGCGGCGACCTCGAAACTGGCTCCGGCGGCACCGCCCGAACAGAAGGCGTCAACCTCGACAAATTCTTCGATGACGTGGAATCGGTCAAACGCGACATGTCAGACGTTGACCGCCTCTACCGCCGCCTCCAGGACCTCAACGAGGAGTCCAAAACCGTCCACAGCGCCGCCACTGTCAAGGACCTCCGGTCCCGCATGGACGCCGACGTGGCGCAGGTCCTCAAGCGCGTCAAAGCCATCAAATCCAAGCTCGAGGCCCTTGACCGGTCAAACGCAGCCCACCGCCGAGTCCCCGGTTGCGGGCCGGGCTCCTCCGCCGACCGGACCCGAACCTCCGTAGTTTCGGGCCTCGGAAAAAAACTCAAGGACACGATGGACGATTTTCAAGGCCTTCGGGCCCGAATGAACGCCGAGTATAAAGAGACCGTCGAACGACGTTATTTTACGGTCACCGGCGAAAAACCAGACGACGAGCTAGTCGAGAGCATGATATCGAGCGGTGAAAGTGAGAGCTTTTTACAAAAAGCGGTCGAGGAGCAAGGGAAAGGTCGGATTTTGGACACGATAACCGAGATTCAAGAAAGGCACGACGCGGTGAAGGAAATCGAGCGCAATTTGGTCGAGCTGCACCAGATATTTCTAGACATGGCGGCGTTAGTCGAGGCGCAAGGGCAACAGTTGAACGACATCGAGAGCCACGTGGCGCATGCGAGCTCGTTCGTGAGGAGAGGAACCGAGCAGTTGCAAGAGGCGAGGGAGTATCAAAAGGGGTCTCGAAAGTGGTATTGTGTTGCGGTTTTGTTAGTGATTGTGCTCGTGGCACTGCTCACGTTTCCTGTGTGGTCGCAGCTTTTGCTAGCGAGTCTTTGATTGTTTCGTGTCGGTTTTTAAGGTTTGATTTTTTTTTGTTTGGTTTGTTCGTGAGAATTTACATTACTTCTCGTTTGGTTGTTGATGGAGTTAAAAAGTTTAGGATATATATATATGGCTTATCATGAGAATGTATGCAAATAGGGTGTACCGTGTACCTAAGTTTTTTTATTGTTTCGTGTCGTGTAATTTTCAATTCTTCTCTAGATGATTTCGTGTTATACTATTAGGGAACACAAAGTTTTGGGGAATTTTAATGTGTTAGGCCAGAAGATATATACATAGTAAAAACCGATGTTTGGTTCAGTTTACAGCAGAGGGAGTAAATGTTCTTGGCTGAACCTTTTTCTCCTTCGAGAGCTTCTTTCGTAGAAATAATTTCATAATATTTACTTCTACTGGACTAACTTGGGCCGGTGCAAGTGATTTTGCTGTCTTGTTGGAGTATACTGAATTGCATTATGCTGCTCTTCAGGCTCCTCTCTTGCATCTGGTGATACAAAAACCATAGTTCAAAAGTTGTAACAGCAATTGAACAGGATATAAGATAACTGATTGGTTTGTAATTAATCCATAATATTCACTTGAGAATCAAAATTGATCAACCAAAGAGGAGTTATCATCTCTTAAATGTGTATAAACTTTCTTTAAGAACCTGACCTCCAATATGGAAATGTTTCTGAAGAGTTCTAAACATTCTTGTAATAGCAGCTTCTCTTGTGTGACCACCATTGCTAACTCGTCCATTAATCCAACGGTTTTCTCGATCTTGTAAAAAAAGAGAGAAATGAAATAACTGAGCGATAGTAAACATAAACAATATAAAGAAGTCAGGCAACTACATCAAGTTTTATGAAAATTTACCGTAGGCGAAAGATTAGTGAGCATAAAGTCATATGTAACTACATCATAGTTTTATGAAAATTTACCGTAGGCGAAAAATTTGTGAGCATCAAGTCGATAGATGCAGCAAGATCCGAAGCATGCCGAATAGAAATTGACGCGAGTTGAGGTTCTACCTGCTGTAACCTTAAGATGTCATCTGCTGTTTAATGTAAGTTTTTATCTTTCAAAACTGCTGTTTAACGTAAGTTTCCATCTTTCAAAGCTACAAAGATTCTTAGATTATTAATGATATTTCAAAGCTACAAAGATTCTTAGATTGTTACTGATATTAAAGTTTTTATGCTCGTTGCACTAAAAACTTGCTTATATAGGTGAAAATATGAGGATAATCACTGGTATACAAGTTAAATTTTACAAACTTAAAAGTTCTTTTTTTCGAAACCATAGATTGTATTCCTCAAAAGGTTGATTTACAAAATACATTTTTTTTTTTCCAATGGTCCAAATAAATTTACAATGAGTTGAAATATATTTAAAATACTGTGTGTGTTTGTTTACCGATGTGTGTTTGTTTTACCTTCACTCCATCAACAAGTGGAACTCTGCAAATAACAGAGTGCAAGTAATCGATGGTTGTACAAACTGCTGATAAGTGCTGTGTCTCCATATTTCCCCAATTTTCCAGAGCTTGAATCTGTAAAACCAACAAAAGTGTAGCTAATGTTTCGTATAATTTATCAAAATAGTAAATACATAAATAACATGAGGTGATTTAGCCATATTTACTTACTTGAGAGTGAATTATGTAACTCAATTTCATTTCCAGCTTCTCTCTTTGTAGCTGCAATTTGTTTTGCACCACAGAATGTTGTAGTTTTATCATGCCATGCCATGCAAACAAGAAGTTGCACTGCAAAATAGATTTTGTACAAACAAATTCAGTTTATTTTGTCACACAATTTTCAGGACCATGTTTCCAATTTTATAAAATACAAAATGAAGTACATTCAAACTAAAATGACACTCTAAGAAACAATATCAAAACATTCATTTTTGCCATAAAACTATTACGAGTCCACCAACCTAACGTGTTCATTTCACCACAAGCCATATATTCAAGATTCATATCTTTATGCAGATTGACCACATTTAATCATAAACGCTATTTAATCAACACTAAATGACTAAATACATACCTCAGCTTGCTTAAACACATTCCCATTAACAGTCTTAGCCCGGGCATTAATGTACCTCAATTGCATCAACCTGTTATGTAGCAACTTCAACTGATGAACATCATAAGACGAGCCCGGCCCGAAGGGCGACAGACTCGAAACGGGCTTCTTCCCCTTCAACAATCCAATTCCCAGACTCAGAATACTCTTCATCTTCCCCTTCTCTTCACCGGACTTTGATTTTCCGGAGCCCGACTGGGCCCCATTCCCATCTGCCTTCTTCATAGCATTCTTCAAATTGAAAACCTTGGAAGAACTACTAAAATTATTATTATTACATTCTGAAGATGAAACAACGGGCTTCAGATTGGGCCCGGAATCAGCACTCCATCTCCTTGACCTCGATGGCTCGAGTCCGTGTTTTCTCGAGCTCAGAGTCGGAGCCATGTAAGACGCCGGGGAATATTTTCTGGCCGCCGGAGTTTCTAAGCTCATCCCGCTGGAATTTCCAAGCTCATCCGAGCTCAATAGAACGTCCTTGTCGATTGAAAATCTACCAGGTGCAATTAGGTCATTATAGTCCGATTTTTCCTCGAATTTGATAGGCTTCCCCGTGTACCTCATGGATCCTCCTAAACCGGGCTTCTGATTATCTTTTGCGGCGAAATTAGAGATCTGAATTTTTCGATCGTCGAATCTGCTGAACTCCGTGCAGCTCTTTTGCCTGGTGAGCGACCGATCTCCGGATTTGGCAGCAATTTTCGACGGCTTTGGGGACGACGAGGGCCAGAGCCCGCGGAAAAACCCCGAATTCTCGTAGCTTTTGTGCTTTCTCGAGAAATTAGCCGGCGGTTGCTTGTGCTTTTGCCGTGGGGAGAAAATTAGAGTGCTGTTTGGGGATTGATTTCCGAAGTCGGACGATGAGGAAGACGACGAACGGGCGGCGGCGGTGGTGGCGGCGCTCGGGGCCGCCGGCGAGAGGAACCTCGAGCTAACTTCTCGGGATTTCGGTTTCTTCGGCTGAGGGGAGGAAGTCCGATCGGAGGTTGCAGGAGGTCCGACGTGGCTCGACATCGGAAAACGCAGAGGACACGCAGTGAACGTGTGGGTGCGCTAGTATTTGAGTNNNNAAATGAAAACAGTCTTCACTGCAAAAGTGGCGGCAAAAGATAAAAACAGAGCCGGCGAGTTTGCAGGTTACGGTTTGGGATTATAGTGACGGAAATGCCCTTAGACGAGAAGGCTTGAGAAATGTGCTCTTGTGAGGTTTTGTGGGGGTAATTTGGGGGTGTACATAATTGGTCGGTTATGCTGGTTTTTTTTGAGTTATTAGTGGACTCTACCCAATGAATTTTTTAATTTTTTCCCCTACAAATCAATCAATTGATTAATGGTTTATGGTTACACAGATTATATTTTTATTTTTAATAAACATGCATATTAAAATATTAGCTTTAAAAAAGCTACATAAACAAAAATTATGATATTTATAATATAATTAAGCATTTTTATTAAAGAAATAAGTATCACGAGTTAATCCATTAAGCATCTCATACACAATTTATATAAATATCAAAAAGTTTTTGTATGAACAGTCAACACCAATCACACTTTTTGAACAAAAATTGCATATTTATATTATTAATTATTATATTTGTGTATAATTTATTTTTTAAAGTATGACATTTTAAATCGTATGTATATTTGTGAAAAAAAAAAAGTATACCAACCTACTGTTTAATCGGATTTACACAAAACCGAAAATATATGCATAAATAAATTGTTTTATAAGTTATTTTGGAGTTGTGTTTTTTTAAAGTTAATTTAATGTGGATTTTTTTGAAAAAGAAAAAAGATGACTGTTATTTGAGGATTGGATTTGTTTAGCTTGGCCGGCATATTAAGTGGGATTTAATCTGGAGTTAACGGGATTTTTGCCCCCCAAATAATTAGTCGTCGTTTAGGAAAGTCGTTCTTGACTTGACTTTTCATTTATCAAGTAACATTTGATCATTTGACACATAATTAAGTCCAAATATTTAAATGAAGCTTATTACTTAGCTTAATTTTTTAGCATTATATCTCTCCAATAAAAGTTCATCTCGTTGCTACCAATCCAATACTTCGAGTCTAATAGTTCAAATGTGTATATATATTACATTATCATGCCATTAAGGCTTTGATATTACCTCTTGATTAAAAAAAAATGTCGAATTGGCTACAAGTAATCCAAACTGTACTAGAGATACACTCATCAGTACCTAAACTGATTATTTTACAAATTACACATTTTTTTTCTTTTTAAAACCAAGATTTTATTGAATATAGCTCTTAAAAACTTGAGATTGATCATATTTTCCCAAAATAAATACAAATTTATATGTCACACATAAGTCTAGACTCTAGACTCCAATCCATCACTTTATTTTGCAACAATTTTCCTGTGTATAGAGTAACTTCTGCTTAAGGTATTTTGTGGAGTGAAAGGCTTGTTATCCTTAGAGTTCATTGCAATACACATTACATGTAAAGTATTTATACGATTATCTAAAAAGTACTAAAGAACTTTGCTTATTCTAAATATCATTATTAGCCATCTAAAGAGTAAAGATCCATCATAAGTCTAAACCAAATGTAGCTTAAGCAAGATGAAGCAAACAAAATAAAGCCCTGATGCTTATTTAACAGCATAACATGCCGTACAATCACTATTACTCCAATAAGAAATTTTTGCTCATTTGTATGTGTAACTTGTTATAAATATATGAATGTGGACATTACTAATATATAATTGGGCCTGAAGTCCATTAGTTAGGAGAATTAGGTTTTAGGGCTTCCCACTTGTAAACCCTATATAAGGGTGATATACGATGAATAAAAAGAGGGGACTTTTATGCTCTTCTGTCTCTTGTTCTCTCGCTCGTTTCTCTTTACTTTGTTTGGTGTGGATGCTTGAGGATCCCAATTTACAACACGTTATCAGCACGCTCTAGTTCGTTATTAGTGTTGCCCTGGGAAAAAATCGTGTTTTTCCTGCAAGGTATTTTCGAGATCCATTTATTTTTCTTAATTCGTACTAAATTCTATATCGTACAAATGAATTACGGCAATTGCCCGCCTGCTCTGTTTTTTTTTATTGCTTATTTCATGCTCTGCAAGGTATTTTTATTGCTCGCATGCTCTGAATTACGGCAATTGCTCCCATACTAATTTTTTTTATTGCTTATTTTCTTCATTGGTGTTGCCCGCATGTCCTGCAAGGTGTTTTTATTGCTTATTCCATTTATTCGCATGATTGTTCCTCTTGTGAATGTGTTTTGGAAATTGCATCGTTGATTTGTTTTTGATTGGCTTGGTTGATGAATCTCGGCTTCTTTTCTTTTCTGTGTTTTTTTTTAAATGAGATTAAGGATTTCTAATTCACTCGATATTTGAGTCGGGCTTGCAACTGTGTAAAAGAAAATCTAGATTTATTTTGTTTGAACATGGCCATGGTAGATCAAATCTTTTAGGATATCATGTCTGTGCTTTCATTTTCAAATCATTATTCTGTGAACACCACTAGATTATGCACTAGAAAACATTTGGGAGTTGTTACAGACTGAGATTTTAAACGTATAGGATTTCTTGGTTTGTCATGAATTTATCTAGTGGGTCATATGTGGAGTTTTTTGGATTGTCATTTTTTTTACGTATATATATTAGCTATGCGCCCAGTAAGTGACAGAAAGTGCAAATAGCATTATAATTGATAAGTTCTCATGGCATAGCTTCTTGTTTATTAAAATCCTGCACTATGTGACATTACGGCGTTTTTAACTGTTACGTTTTTACTTGATGAGATTATAGTAGCAGTATGTTTGACAGATAAAAAATATAAATGCTTCGTTTCATGGCTTTATTTTACCTTTTAAAGTTATCATTCATAATATCCTTCAAAAATCATATTAAGTTTAATTGAATAAATTGTAGAATCTGATGATGTCTTATATCACCAAAATTTGTGGTTCGTTTTTGCTTATTATACTATGATTTGATTGAGACTATTGTTATGTTTGCTTATAATATTTTACTTTTCTTTTAGTGTACCACAACCATTCATTAGTTTGCATCTAATGGAGAAAGAGGGCATTTTATGTCTGGTCGACAGTGCTACTACGCACACTATTTTAAAAGATAGGAAATTTTTTCAAACTTTAAATGAAAAGAAAGGGAGTGTTTCTACAATTGCTCATGATAAAATCATGATAGTCGGCTCCGGCAGAGCTTTATTTACTCTTCCTAAGGGTACTGAATTAATAATTAATGATGCGCTTTTGTACCCTGAATCGCAAAGAACACTCCTCAGTTTTAAAGATATTCGATCAAATGGTTTTCATCTTGAAACTAAGACTGAAAATAATATAGAGTATCTTCTTATGACTCATTCACAAGGAAGTCAAAAGAAAATTGTAGAAGAACTTCCCTCTTTCTCCTCAGGCTTATACCATACTTACATTCGACCCTCTATTAATCATGTTGCATTGAGCTTAAAATTTAAAGACCCAAATTTATTTAAATTATGGCATGAGCGATTGGGTCATCCTGGGCTTAGTATGATGCGTCGGATTATTTCTAACTCTTTTGGGCATACCGTATCAAACAGCAGTCTCCCTTCTTTTAAAGAATTTATTTGTGATGCTTGTGCAAAGGGAAAATTGATATTAAAACCTTCACGTACTAAAGTTGGAATTGAATCTCCTATGTTTCTTCATCGGATTCAAGGTGATATATGTGGTCCTATTCATCCCACTTCGGGACCTTTTCGATATTTTATGGTCTTGATAGATGCTTCCACTCGATGGACATATGTGTGTTTATTATCCACTAGAAATCAGGCTTTTCCAAAGCTCCTTGCTAAAATTATTGAATTAAGAGCTCAATTTCCTGATTATCAAATTAAAACCATTAGAATGGATAATGCCGGCGAATTTACATCGAAAGTTTTTGATGATTATTGTATGTCATTGGGCATCAAAGTGGAGCATCCGGTACCTTATGTCCACACACAAAATGGTCTAGCCGAATCACTCATTAAGCGCATCAAATTAATTGCTCGACCATTGTTACAAAATTCCAACTTACCAATTTCATGTTGGGGACATGCAATTTTACATGCTGCCGCCCTAATTCAAATCCGACCAACTGCATATCATGATTACTCCCCTATACAACTAGTGCGTGGTAAAAAACCTAACATTTCCCATCTGCGAGTGTTTGGTTGTGCAGTCTATGTTCCTATATCACCACCGCAGCGTACCTCTATGGGCCCTCATAGAAAGCTAGGTATATATATTGGCTATGAATCTCCGTCTATTTTAAAATACCTAGAGCCCATGACTGGGGATCAATTTACAGCTCGGTACGCTGACTGCATATTCGATGAAGAGAATTTTCCGGCATTAGGGGGAGATAAAAGCCCAAACTTAAATAAATGCCAAGAAATTTCTTGGAACGAACCAAATCTACAATATTTAGATCCACGCACTAATCAAGCTGAACTTGAAGTTCAAAAGATAATTAATTTGCAATATTTAGCAAATAATCTGCCAGATGCATTTACTGATCATAAAGGAGTGACCAAATCTCATGTACCTTCGATAAATGCTCCACAGCGAGTGGAAGTCCCCAAGAAATCTAATATTCCTGAAGATTCTCTACGCCAGAAGCGTGGGAGGCCCGTTGGTACAAAAGATAATAATCCGCGGAAAATAAAATTTAATAAAAATATTGAATCACTCCTGAAATCTCCAGAAGAGAATCGTCCAGAAGGCGAAAATCCTAGTTTAAATGCACGTGCAACAAATAATAAAACTACTAGGATTGCGGAACATCCAGATCATAATATATTGGGAAATGATGAAGATCTGGTTGATGTAAATATTGAAGTAGCTACGAATTTTGTTGATACAGGAGAAACTTATAATAGAAGTAACATAGTCGTCGACGACACATTTGCCTCTATAGTTGCCTTTACCATCTCTAATAATCTGGATCCAGAACCTAAATCAATTACAGAGTGCCGGAAGCGCTCCGATTGGGTAAGATGGAAGGAGGCAATTGAGGCCGAACTAGACTCG